GATATTAATTACAAAATTTAAATAAATAATATTAATATCAATAATAATAATAATAATAAATAATAATAAATAATATTTTATTAAATAAAATAAATTTAAATAATATTTTATTAAATAATAACATAAATAATAATAAATAATAATAAATATAAATAATTATAATAATAATATAAATTAAATAAATAATCTGATATTAATTACAAAAATTAAATAAAAATTAAAACAAATATTTCACATTAATTATGCCTTTTTAATATAGTCGATATTGCTTCTAAGTTTTTAATATATCTTACTTATTATAAAACCCAGGTTGTGTGCGTGTGTGTCTGTACGTTTATATATTGGATCGGATTTCCTACATTTTTCAACCGATTTCAACAAAACTTCACAGGACTACGTAAAATTACCTTGCAGTGGTTCTGACAGCACCAAAAATTGGAAAAACACAATTGTTTTTGCACAAAATCAATTTGAAAACACGATTAAGAGGCATCACGAGAATGAAAGGGGGACAACGCATATCGAGTTATACTTATTATAAAACCCAGGGTGTGTGTGTGTGTGTGTGTTCGTTTATATATGCGATCGGATTTCCTACATTTTTCAACCGATTTCAACAAAACTTCACTTTTTTTTGGCATGTAGTGTTTCTTATTTTCTTGCACACTTTTTTCTTTATTTTTACACTCAGAATGCTTTAAAAATTCCATTTACAAGACAAAGACAATTGTTTATAATAAAAACGATTGAAAATGATGTTTTTTGTTTGAATTTGGGTTTGACCAATTCGTAAAAAAAAAAAAAAAAAAAATAATTAAGACATACGTGTCCGTCAACTTTAAACAATAATCTTTGTCAATTTTATTTTTCAGTCTTTATGATGGCCGATACTTGATCTATCTCTTACTGTTACATCCCCGGGCAACGCCGGGCTCTACTGCTAGTATGTTAATAATTATAGGTTTCTGAAAAAGCTGATATTGCTTCTAATTTTATAAAATATACGTTATTAATTCTAGGTTTCTGAAAAGCAGTTTTGAATAAGTTTTTTTTTTACCTATAGCTCAATAATGCTTATCGTTTGAAGATAGGAAGATCACATTAACAAATTAAATTATGAATTTCAATCATTGCAGAGCAGACTTGCTACCAAAACATTTGCATTTTTTATTAAATAATCCTAAAAACTAAATAAATTCCTTATTCATCCGTTGCACTTTTTTTGTGATTCTGGAATTTCAGACGTCAAGGTAATTCTGCAGTTGCAAACGGTATTTCAATTCCATAAGTTTTGCCTTTCATTCTACCTCCCTCTGTAATGGCCGTCTGATGATATCGTATTCTTATCTAACTGCCAATAAGTAAAACTGATTGCACTGGCATGATATTCAATCCGCTTTGAACTTTTACTAAGATCCCACAGATAAGAAGTTGAGAATCTTCATCTGTTTTCTACCTTCATGAAAAGAAGCACGTGTTGAATATAAGCTCAATGGTTATAGAAATCCAGTAGAAAGCGTGAGGCTAAAGTTTCAGATTCACCTACTCGATTAAATCTCAGGTTTGATTCATTGATTTGCTTTTTACTAGCTGTCTTGTGATTACTTGCATTATTTACATTACTCGGACCGTTATCCTCATCTTCATTTCCATATTCACAACGTTTCGGCCGTTGTACACTCTGGCTGTCTTCAGGTGCTTGGAATTTCGAACGGAACCCTTTATTTCGTACATCGGGGTAGATTGTTCTAGTTCCGCGTTCCATGCCTCTTCTTGATGTCTCAGTTATTCCTCTTTAATTCAACTCGCCGTTTTTCTGTGGCCTGGTATTGAACAAATAACTCTTTGGGTCTAGTCACTAGATCTAACCACTGGGCAATGTATCCTTGAGGGCATCTGTGCATGAATTTTGGGGAATTATAAACCTAACGTTTCAACAACCATTTTTACCAGTGCTTATATTGCAATTTTTCTGTTATTATTATTGCATTTTTTACCAGAGCTTTATTGCAATTATTGTTGTTAGTCATTGTTTGGAGAGTTAAGTTAAAGGGAAATGACTGAGACATCCGGAAGAGGCATGGTACGTGGAACTAGAACAATCTACCCGGGTGGACGAAATAAAGGGTTCGGTTCGAAATTCCAATCACCTGAAGAAGGCCGGAGCATACAACGGCCGAAACGTTGTTCTTTACTGTCTATCAACCTTTTGTACGTTATTTAAAGTCAGAAAATATTTTTAGATTGAAATAATATTTTGGAAGATAATTATGATTTTACTGATACATGTCCAACTAATTAATCGATAGCTTGAGGGATAAGTGGATTTATACCTTTCCCCGAGGGTATTTGTGCGTAAGTCAATCTAAAGTACCCCACTGAAATTGGGACTCGCTTCTTCGATTTCTTATTCCGAGCTCTTATCCTTTACACCACCCGCACATCCAAGCTTACATCTTGTCTTCAATCTGTTCTGTGAATATCAAATTTTCCAAGCCCTCTCTCCTCGTTATGCACCCCGGAAATTTCAACTGCCTCATTCTGATGTTAAGTATGTGTCCTTTTACTTTTCATTTTCTCTAATACATCGTCGTTGCTCATATATCCGGTCCATGACATTCTCGGCATCCTTCTGTAGAACCACATGTAGTGTAGTAGTTCGCGAGATGCTGCTGCTCGAGCGGAACTCACCAATGGAATACGGAGGGAATGAGGGTGATTCACTACAGTGGACGTGCCATGGTGGCTCTTAGCCGTGAAGGCTAGAACTGGTGGAACTAAAGAATTCTTAATTCGTCTGAGCACTTTCCATGGAAGTAGCGATATAGCAGTGTGAAGCTTGCGACATCTTGCCTGTGATAGAGACGCTGTAGGGTGGAGAATAATTCCTCACATACAAGGAAGAGGAGACACTCTGGGACTCTATAGAGACTCGAAAGTGATGCCAAAATATGACAGCAGTACTCCATTTTGGTTCTGATCTGGCTCTTACAAAGGTAGAGGATATCACGAGGAGTCAGGTACTTACTGGAGCGGTACAAGGAACCGACCATTTTTCCTGGGTCTTTAGCGATGGATCGTATGTACGAGTTCCATTTAAAGTTAGGATTGAGTCTGAGGCCCAATAGCCGCTCAATGCACGGGACTCTCCCCGAGAGAACATCCATTCATCAAATCCGACACGATTGAAAGTGGGGGATCAGTTTTCTGTTGTTATTAAGTAATCAAATGATCCCAGATAAGTGGAAAAAATAGAATTACGGTCACACGTGTGAAAACTTAATAATAGTAATGACTTAACAATTTATGTCTCCACTGAGACATGTTGGCGAAACTCATTACCAAGTATTAAGGGGTTCATCGACATTTCTTTCTGTGCGAAATGAGACCGATATTGGATCTGAAGAGATGTCAAAATCCATCGCATTGGAGTTAAGAAGATTTCAGGGAATGAAGAGCTCTGGCTTTTCTTTGGGCTCTCTTTGACTTTTCTAATTGTCTTTTGCTGTTTTCGAAAGATGATTTTTTTCGGGGACTGTTCTTTTCCTATTGGTTCTTTAAACAGCTTCTGTTTCCCAAATGACCCTATCGTTTTCTGTCCTCAGCAAATTTTAAATATATATTTATTATCAATATATCGGCGTCGTTGGTTGAATTCGTTGCCGAGTATTGGGGTGCTCATCGAAATTTCCTTCTGTGCGAAATGTGTCCTTTGTTGGATCTGCGAAGACGTCCGCATGGGCAGTTAGAAAGGTTCAGGGTGGGGCGGAGAGCTCTGGCTTTCTTTGGGGCTCTTTTCGTCTCTTCTATTTGCTTTTGGCGCTTTCCTTGAGAAGAAGAAATGTCTTTGAATACGAAAGACTTAGCTGAGGATTATTTGAAGTGGTCAATGTGTCGCCACTCTATGGCACACACAATTCAACTGATACCATTTGCTGTACTTAATAGTCAGGTTCATGAAGAAAACTTGCATCGGGCTACCGATTTGTTTCCCTACGTAGAACTTCGCCTTGACCGGATACTCGACGGGCGTCGGGTCGTGCTTAGTTAGTTCTCTTCCCGGAATCTTACCAACAGTCAATTATCGTATATATCTATCGTCGTTGGTGAAACTCGTTTCCGAGTACTGGAATGTTCATCGACATTTCCTTCTGTGTGAAATGAGTTTTATGTTGAATCTTTCTACCCTACCGCATGGCAGGGTAGAAAGATTCTGGGAATGAAGGGCACGGGCCTTTCTTTTTCTCTTGTAATTGTCTTCTGGTCTTTTCGAAGATAGCTGTTTTTACGTGGACTGCTCGTCACCAATTGGTTCTTTCTGCATCTTCCATCTCACAAGTGACTCGATCGATTTCTATCCCCAGCAGGTCTTTTTTAGCTGATCCGTGAATGGATGACATGTGGCTCCAAGTGGTCTCTTGTCAGATGTGCAAAATCGTATTAATGTAACACTCCTCTCTTTATTCCATGACGCTGTAGAAGTGGTGATTCTTGGTCAAGATAGCTTGACAGAGCCCAACCTTCTCCAGGCTGGTTTTGAATTCCTTCTCCTAGACTGGTTGCCACCCAAGGCTATAGAATCCAATCAATCCTGCTATTTACTCATAGCTGGGGGAGAAGAAGACGATCCATACCTTTACCAAAAGTATTAGCATGTGAGTGAATCTAATGGATCCGACTGGAATTCGAACTCGGCTCTCTGATTCCTCAATCCGAGCCGCTATCCATTACACCATCGTGCCTCCTCCTCTACTGGACGTAAAGTGGGGATCCGTTTTCTATATATATTAAGTAATAAATTGATGCTCCTCATAATTATTATATATTAATATAATAATTGGAAATATTTTTTATATCACTGATGAATTAGTATGTCTGTTGTGGACATAAAGTGGGGGATCAGTATTCTATTGTCGTTAAGTAATAAACTGATCCTCATAGAATTACTATATAATAATAATATATTACTTGGAAAATATATTTTACAATATTTGAGAACTCTATAATAGTAACGACTTAAGCATATTCGCCGGGTGTGACAGTGTGGAGTAATCGGTAGCAAGGCTAATCGGGTTGATTGTCAAGCGGATTATCGAGAGTTCGTTCCTCACGACGTCTTATATACAAGATTTAATATGAAATAGCCAGGTAAGGATTAACATGTGAAATAACTTAAAAATGTTATAAGGCTTAGTTTTCCGATTCTTTGTAACTCTGTCGTTATGACGCATGGTTTTTCGTTTGATATCGATGTTCCCACCGATGTGTGCATGAATAAGATCCCAGAAAAGAGTTATCAAAACTCGTTGGAAAACAGATCTGACGAGAAAAGAGAAAAATTATGACTATGTATTTGAAACGAAACTTATTTAATATGATTTATTTCGTTCATAGTTTTTACATGTAACAGACATTCACTGGATATTGCAATAACTTTTTCTTTTTTATTTATAATAATATTCAACTTGTACAAGGCCCAAGAGCCACTCGACATAGATTTGGTTTGGTTTGTTTGTTTAACGGCATATCAATACCTTATAGGTTATTTAATGCCGAAATGTTATTTTCTTGTGAACTTTGGTATATTTTTCTTTATTTCGTAGGCACGGCAGAATAATGAATAGTGGCTCTGATTGAGCCGAGTTCGAATTCCACTCGAATCCATTACATTCACTTACGTGCTGATATCATTGAGAAAAGTATAAAACGTCGTCTCCCCCCCTCCAAGCTATGGGTAAATAGCAGGACAGACCGGGTTATATAGCCTTGGATGGCAACTGGCTTACCGCGGAAAGAAATGGTAACCTACTGCGGGAAAATAATCTGCCTCGTCAGTTATGTATCGAAAGATACATGATCGCCTAATCGTGTATCATGCTTGGCACATAACTGACTGCAGATAATTGTTTTTTTTTCCAATAAAGTATGGCTGGTAATTTTTTCTAATGTATTTTTATATTTTCATGTTTTGACTCAAGTTTGAGGAGTTCACTATTTTACCCATAGCTGGGACCCTGACTGGTGCTACCACCCCGGATCAGGGTGAACCAGGGAACAACAGCAGTTAGGTGGTGGTTCCATGCTCCCGGTCGGAGGCCTTGCTATCGGATGTAGTTTATTGCCATACCCAGGACGAACTCGACATAGACGGGTACCGAGTAAGGGGTACAGTTTATACGGATATATAGAGAAGATAACGGTTAACCCAAGATTTGAGCAGGTTAAGATTATAGGGATAGGGGAAGATTATAGGGATCGGGGAAGATTATAGGGATAGGGGAAGATTATAGGGATAGGGGAAGATTATAGGGATGGTTCAACGGTGGCTCGAGTGGAACATTCATTTGCCCATAGTTGTCTAGTAGGTTCTTCCTACCTTTCTATGTGCTATATGCCATTAGAACGTGAATGGTTATGACTCCCCACAGCTTCCTTTATTTTATTAAGCTCAGTAATACTTGCTCCTTTATGACCAAACTATGTCTTTGTGGCATTTGTTCCTCCATCTATTTGCTTGAGTTTTTCAAGTATGTTCTCTCTTTCTATGCGCCATGTCCATTCAATATGTGAACAATCATGGCTCTCCACAGCTTCCTATCCTTTGTTGCTCTCAGTAATTATTGTTCTTTTATGACTCCTTTTCCTTTATAGTTCTTGATCCTGCATCCATTTGCTCAAAATTGTTAAGTAGTTTCTCTCTCTCTTCTTCTTCTGTGAACTATGTCACATTCTGAACACTGGCGGCCATGGCTCTCCACAGCTTCATTTTTATGCTCTCGGTAATATTTGCTACTCCAACGCCTCACTTCATCTTTATGGTAGTTGTCCTTCCATCCATTTACTCAAAACAGTCATGTAAATTATTTCACTCTTTCTCTCTCTCTTTCCCCCCCCCCTCTCTCTCTCTCTCTCTCTCTCTCTCTCTCTCTCTTGTGTCCCTTCAAAATTCGGAGGAGCATAATTCCCCCCAGCTTCCTTTATTGTCTTGCTATCAGTAATATTTGCTCGTTTAAGACACCGCTTCCATTTTTTCTTTCTCCAAACCTTGTTAACTGAGATCTTTCTTTTTCTGTGTGCCGTGTCCGTCCATGAGGCGAACGATCATGTATCGCCACAGCTTCCTGATTTTTATGAGTCCTTTTTATCTTTATGGTCCTTGTTCATTCATCCATTCGCTTAAACAGGTCAAATAAAATACTCGCTATATTGTCTTGCTGCTTGGCTCAAATATGGTGACGAACACTTATATATAAAAATATATAATTATCTTTATTGTTCGAGTTGCAGCGATTGGGTAGAGTAAAGTTAGGGTTGCGCGCACAGGAATTGACGGAGACAAATCTTCGGTGAACCTCTAGCCAGCTTCTCTGTCCAGATCAAGAATCAGACCGGTTAAATAACATTTAGACACCTACGCAACTTCACGTGGTTACGCCATCTTCCTGTATGTCGCCTATGCAACTTTGCGTGGTCACGTCTCTTCTGGCATGGGCCCACGCAAGCACGCATTTCCTTACGCTTAGGATACTTATGCGCCCCGTTTATTCAAGGCTCATGACACCTGCACGTCCTATTTGTTTTAGCTACCGGATACATTTTCTGTTTATGCTATCACCAGTTACGATTTCCACTCACTAATGCAGCGGAAGTAAGGCCAAAGGTTTTTCCTCTCTTAAATTCCCTAAGCCTTCTTTCCTCTTTAAATATCACAGAAAGTTCATCTAGCTCTTGCTGACTGTTAGCGACGGTTTCTTTGTAGCTGTTATTCTTTTAAACATTTCCTCATTTGTCGCATTCTTTGTCTATGTATTGTTAATATTTCTCTGTACAATCATTCCTCGTTTACCTTAAGTCATCTTTTTTTTTGTGACGAAATTTTCCCCCTTTCAATACCATATCGTAGAGCAGACATCTTTTAGAATTCCAATGTTCTGTTCTTTGTGTTTTACTTTGTTTTTTCTTTGCTTTTTTACTTTTATTATTTTACTTTTTATCGCTACTTTTTTTTTATTCTTTGATTTTATTTCTGGAAATTAACTTTCGCATTTTACTAAGCGTCTACGCGTTTCGGTATCATGTTCTTCTGTCTCAGTTCTTCCACTGCCCAAATAGTTGAATAACCGCAATTACAGCATTCTAAGAATCAGTTTTCTTTATTATTATTATTATTATTTTCCTGGGTCTCCAATGTCTTTAACAACTTCTTCACCGCCCTACGCCACATTTCTCAAGATTTGACATTTCAGGGCCAATTTAGAAGAGATCCATTCTACTTTTCGCGTAAATTCCCCAAATGTTTTCACTCTAAGAAACTGACACGTTTGCCAGTGTTTTTTGCTTAAATTTGTGTGTATCCCCAAACTGCAAAAGCGCTTGAGAAAGGTGACCTGTTGCATATATATGCACACTCTCTCTCTCTCTCTCTCTCTCTCTCTCTCTCTCTCTCTCTCTGACACACACACACACACACACACTCAACACGAACACACATACGTGCACGCAATCTCTACGCAAACATATTCACGCCGGCACACATACACGAGTACACACGCACACCACGCAAACACATACGCATCCAGCGCAAACATACACAGACGTAAACACACATGCACATACATATACACCGCAAATACACACACACACACATACTAGACAAACATATGCACACACACCATGAACACACATGCACAATAAAAACAGACACGCGCACACACCACAAAGAGAAACACACACATACACCAAATACACACACACGTACATACTATACAAACATATGCACACACACACACACACACACACACACACACACACACCATAAACACACATGCACATTAAAACAGACACGCACACAGATCACAAAGAGAAACACACATACACCACAAATACATTGATTGCTTCAAACACTATCTATGGCTTATCAACCCTTTACAGGTTATTTAAAGCCAGAAAATATATTTTGATTGTAACGATTTTTTTCCTTTTTTTTTTAATATAACAGTGATTTTTAAAAGTTCTACTAACTAACTCATAACAGGACCGGGGGCGGAGCTGGATTCAAACCTTTCCCCAGGGTATTTACGCCTAAGTGAATATAACAAACCTAACTGGAATTGGAACTCTACCCTCGGATTAATAATTCCGAGCGAATATCCATTATACTACCCGTACATTCAAGTTTACAGCACTTGGTATTCCTAAGCGACCACCCATCTAGGTACTGACCAGGTCCGACGTTGCTTAACTTCATTGATCGTACGGGAACCAATGTTTCAACGTAATATGGTGGTAAGCCTACTCTCACAGACACATCACACGAACAGACAGACGCACACAAATATTCACACACTCATACCAACAAACATCGCGCACACACATACACGTTGCAGTTAATATCAGATTGATTTAATTAATATTTACACTGAAGCAGTTGTCGGGTGCGTAGATATTATATGACGAGGAACAACATTCACGTCCTGGGTATGACGATAAATTACCTCCGGAAGCAAAAACTATGATGAGGTGATTTTGAAGAGTGTCGAACCACCTCTTAATTACTGCTGTTCCCAGGGCCACTCTGACCTGAGGTGGTAGAAGCTGTTAGGGTCCGAGCTATGAGCAAATAGTTAAACCCCAACCTGGAGTCAAAATACTAGGAATGTGTAAAAATAGGTGTTAATACCAGCAATACAATTTTGGAAAAAATTATTGCCAGCAATACATTTTGGAAAAAAAAAGGAATATTACAAGCAATACGTTTGTGAAGAAGAAAATTACCAGCAATACATTTTGGGGAAAAATATTACCAGCCATAAAAATCTTGTCAGCATTACATAACCCATTGAGGTTGATATGCCGTAAAACAAACCAAACCAAACCAATATATACTGAGATAGATAGATAGATAGATAGATAGATAAAAAAAATTACCAGCAATAAAAATCTTGTCGTCATTAAATAGCCCATTGGTGTTGATATGCCGTAAAACAAACCAAACCAATAGATAGATAGATAGATAGATAGATAGATAGATAGATAAAAAATAAAAAAAATTGGCAGCCATAAAAATCTTGTCGGCATTACATAACCCACTGAGGTTGATATACCGTAAAGGAAACCAAACCAAACGTTGATCTTTAAAAAGAAACAAATCTAAATACAAAAACTGAGTTCGAATCAAATTTCTACAGCATGTAAATTCTCAAGAACAAAAAAGAAATGTATAATTTCAGTCATCATATGCTTAGGTTCTATTGAAATTCTAATCATCGCTTTTTAAAACAACAACCATTCATCATTATCATCACCATCATCCTTCGACATCCCTATGGCTGGCCGGAACTCCATTGACAATCCCTTTTTATACTGTTCGTTCCTGTATTGCTGTCCCCAGATCCCCAATGTCCAACCCTGAAATCCCGTCTGGGACAATCAACTTTCGTGAGAAGACACTACCAGAAGAATGCCATAAGAGTAAGGATGAGACGATTTCCCTGTCCGCTCGGGTGGCAATGGCCGGCAAACTGTAATCGATTTTAATTGAGCTTAAGAGAGATTGGCCTCAGTTATCTGTAAATTGGGTTAAGTGTTTCATGGGATCTTCAACGAAACAATGTTGTTAAAACTAAAAGAATCAGAAAAAAAAAAGATTTCCAAGAATAACAGAAGAAATGTAGATAAGAGTAGAGGATAAAGATTATAGGACAAGTAGAAAGGGTGAAAATATGGTAAGAATAAAAAGAATGAAGAGGAAAAGAATAAGACGACGTTGTGACTAAAGAAGAAGAAGAAAAAGAGGAAAAGAGAAGAAGAAGAATGAGTGGAAGGTGGAGGAGTACAAAAGAATAAAAAAGGAGTAGAAATAAGAGAGAATTACGAGAAAATTTGAAGACGATGATGAGCAAGAGAAAGAAATAAGCGCAGTATAGGAAGGTATAATACAACAAAGAAAGAAAGAAAGAAAGAAAAGTAAAAGAAAGAAAGAAAGAAAGAAAGAAAGAAAGAAAGAAAGGAAAAGTAAGAAATAAATAAAGAAAGAAAGAAATGGAAGAAAGAAAGAAAGAAAGAAAAAAAGAAAAAAGAAAGGGAAAAGTAAGAAATAAATAAAGAAAGAAATGGAAAAACGAAAGACAGAAAGAAAAAAGAAAGAAAAAAAGAAAAGAAAACGTAAGAAAGAAAGAAAGAAAGAAAGAAATGGAAAAACGAAAGAAAGAATGAAAGAAAGAAAGAACTAAAGAAAGAAAGAAAGATTTATATATGTTCCATCCAGTCGTCTTTCAAGACGAGCAGATAATGTCTAAATTTCTGGTCCATACAGTAGAACTGGTTCAGTCAACGACGAGACCTTGATGCGAATCTAGTGGTACGCTTAAATTCTTGCGGTCGAGGAGTAGCACTCATTCATCATCCTCGTCATCCTTTCCTCCTCCCTATGGTTGGTCAGATCTCCATTGGCAATCCCTTTCCACTCAGTTCGTTCCTGCATTGCTGTCCCCAGATCCCCATTGTCCAACCCTGAATCCTGAGCTATGTAGGAACCAGCTTTCCTTTCAGCTGAGACTTCTCTTGTCGGAACATTTTCTTAATTGACAGTTCCCATGTAGAAGACATGTTTCTTTTCGTTTGAAAGCTCCTGTAGGAGACATAATACTTTAAATCAATGGACGGCTCTGTTGTTGGAACCATGCTTGTTTTATATTGTTAGCTCTATTGTTGGAGACATCTTTCCTTTCAATTCAGAGCTCTTTTTTTGGAGACATCTTTCCTTTCAATTCAGAGCTCTCTTGTTGGAGACATCTTTCCTTTCAATTCAGAGCTCTCTTGTTGGAGACATCTTTCCTTTCAATTCAGAGCTCTCTTTTTGGAGACATCTTTCCTTTCAATTCAGAGCTCTCTTTTTGGAGACATCTTTCCTTTCAATTGAGAGTTCTCTTGTTGGAGACATCTTTCCTTTCAATTCAGAGCTCTCTTTTTGGAGACATCTTTCCTTTCAATTCAGAGCTCTCTTGTTGGAGACATCTTTCCTTTCAATTCAGAGCTCTCTTTTTGGAGATATCTTTCCTTTCAATACAGAGCTCTCTTTTTGGAGACATCTTTCCTTTCAATTGAGAGTTCTCTTGTTGGAGACATCTTTCCTTTCAATTCAGAGCTCTCTTTTTGGAGACATCTTTCCTTTCAATTCAGAGCTCTCTTGTTGGAGACATCTTTCCTTTCAATTCAGAGCTCTCTTGTTGGAGACATCTTTCCTTTCAATTCAGAGCTCTCTTCTTGTTGGAGACATCTTTCCTTTCAATTCAGAGCTCTCTTGTTGGAGACATCTTTCCTTTCAATTCAGAGCTCTCTTTTTGGAGACATCTTTCCTTTCAATTCAGAGCTCTCTTGTTGGAGACATCTTTCCTTTCAATTCAGAGCTCTCTTTTGGAGACATCTTTCCTTTCAATTCAGAGCTCTCTTGTTGGAGATATCTTTCCTTTCAATTCAGAGCTCTCTTTTTGGAGACATCTTTCCTTTCAATTCAGAGCTCTCTTATTGGAGACATCTTTCCTTTCAATTCAGAGCTCTCTTTTTGGAGACATCTTTCCTTTCAATTCAGAGCTCTCTTATTGGAGACATCTTTCCTTTCAATTCAGAGCTCTCTTTTTGGAGACATCTTTCCTTTCAATTCAGAGCTCTCTTGTTGGAGATAACTTTCCTTTCAATTCAGAGCTCTCTTTTTGGAGACATCTTTTCTTTCAATTCAGAGCTCTCTTGTTGGAGATATCTTTCCTTTCAATTCAGAGCTCTCTTGTTGGAGACATCTTTCCTTTCAATTCAGAGCTCTCTTTTTGGAGACATCTTTCCTTTCAATTCAGAGCTCTCTTTTTGGAGACATCTTTCCTTTCAATTCAGAGCTCTCTTATTGGAGACATCTTTCCTTTCAATTCAGAGCTCTCTTTTTGGAGACATCTTTCCTTTCAATTCAGAGCTCTCTTGTTGGAGACATCTTTCCTTTCAGTTCAGAGCTCTCTTTTTGGAGACATCTTTCCTTTCAATTCAGAGCTCTCTTGTTGGAGATATCTTTCCTTTCAATTCAGATCTCTCTTATTGGAGACATCTTTCCTTTCAATTCAGAGCTCTCTTTTTGGAGACATCTTTCCTTTCAATTCAGAGCTCTCTTATTGGAGACATCTTTGCTTTCAATTCAGAGCTCTCTTTTTGGAGACATCTTTCCTTTCAATTCAGAGCTCTCTTGTTGGAGATATCTTTCCTTTCAATTCAGAGCTCTCTTTTTGGAGACATCTTTCCTTTCAATTCTGAGCTCTCTTTTTAGAGACATCTTTCCTTTCAATTCAGAGCTCTCTTGTTAAAGACATCTTTCCTTTCAATTCAGAGCTCTCTTTTGGAGACATCTTTCCTTTCAATTCAGAGCTCTCTTTTTTTGGAGACATCTTTCCTTTCAATTCAGAGCTCTCTTATTGGAGACATCTTTCCTTTCAATTCAGAGCTCTCTTTTTGGAGACATCTTTCCTTTCAATTCAGAGCTCTCTTGTTGGAGATATCTTTCCTTTCAATTCAGAGCTCTCTTATTGGAGACATCTTTCCTTTCAATTCAGAGCTCTCTTTTTGGAGACATCTTTCCTTTCAATTCAGAGCTCTCTTTTTGGAGACATCTTTCCTTTCAATTCAGAGCTCTCTTTTTGGAGACATCTTTCCTTTCAATTCAGAGCTCTCTTATTGGATACGCGTTTTCCTTTCAAGTGACAACTCTCCATAGTTTTACAACCAGTTTTACACAAACACCCACAGAAAGAGACAGAGACAGACAAACAGACAGACAAAGAAAAATAACTGATAGGGTGGAAGAAATATGTTTTTAAAATTGTATATTTTAAAAAACATCTTTCTCTCGCTCTTATCTTTGAAAACCTATATTTAATGTTATCACTAAGAACACTATTCACTGGTTCCAATAGGAAATACTCAACTTCAACAACATTGTCTTGTTTGGTTTCCTTGTCTTCACTAAGGTGAGCAATTCTGCTATCGTCTGCCCATCCACTTGCCTTTGTCTCGTCTCTCCCAATTCTTACTTTTGTCAATGTCTGTATTTATTTCTTCTAAGAAAAAAATATTTTCACAAAACTGCGAGAATTAAAAAAAAAATATCGTTCAGTTTCGTATATCGAGGTTATTGCCATCCATGCGAGGCGAGAAAAATTGAACGCCGACAATAAAAAAGGAAATGGTGGATTTGGCAAACAGACTGACAGTTCAATACGTTATCAAAGAATGTGGCATCTGCAACAGATTCCATGTCTTATACAGGTTATCTTTGGATGAAAACTTTGTTTACTGGAATCAAAAAGACAGATTAAAAGAGAGAAAATGCAAACGAAACAATGTTGTTAAAACCAAAAGAATCAGAAAAAAAAAGATTTCCAAGAATAACAGAAGAAATGTAGATAAGAGTAGAGGATAAAGATTATAGGACAAGTAGAAAGGGTGAAAATATGGTAAGAATAAAAAAGAATGAAGAGGAAAAGAATAAGACGACGTTGTGACTAAAGAAGAAGAAGAAAAAGACGAAAAGAGAAGAAGAAGAAGAATGAGTGGAAGGTGGAGGAGTACAAAAGAATAAAAAAGGAGTAGAAATAAGAGAGAATTACGAGAAAATTTGAAGACGATGATGAGCAAGAGAAAGAAATAAGCGCAGTATAGGAAGGTATAATACAACAAAGAAAGAAAGAAAGAAAGAAAGAAAGAAAGAAAGAAATGGAAAAACGAAAGATAGAAAGAAAAAAGAAAGAAAGAAAAGTAAAAGAAAGAAAGAAAGAAAGAAAGAAATGGAAAAACGAAAGATAGAAAGAAAAAAGAAAGAAAGAAAAGTAAAAGAAAGAAAGAAAGAAAGAAAGAAAAAAGAAAGAAAGAAAGGAAAAGTAAGAAATAAATAAAGAAAAAAAGTAAAAACGAAAGAAAGAAAGAAAGAAAGAAAGAAAGAAAGAAAGAAAAGGAAAAGTAAGAAAGAAAGAAAGAAAGAAAGAAATGGAAAAACGAAAGACAGAAAGAAAAAAGAAAGAAAGAAAGAAAGAAAAGAAAACGTAAGAAAGAAAGAAAGAAAAGAAAACGTAAGAAAGAAAGAAAGAAAGAAAGAAAGAAAGAAAGAAAGAAATGGAAAAACGAAAGAAAGAATGAAAGAAAGAAAGAACTAAACAAAGAAAGAAAAGGAAAAGTAAGAAAGAAAGAAAGAAAGAAAGAAAGAAAGAAAATACGAATTTCCGTGTGAGAACGACAAAGTGAAATGAAAGGGAATATTTATGTTAAATAAAGGAAAAAAGATGAAGAGAAAAGAAAAGAAAAAGGATAAAGAAAAAGGATAAAGAAGAACAAGAAAGAGGAGGTGAAAAACAGGACATGGAGTGAGAAAGAAAGAGAGCACGAAACCTTGTTAATACAGAAAAGGAAAAAAATCACAGAAGCAATTCCTCACTGCGTGAATATTTTTTTCTTCGCCGTTCTTGTTGGTCGGGCGTCTAGCACTACTTTTTCCACCCCGACCCTGCACAACATTGGCATCCACTCCGGTCGCTTCACTTCAGGAAGCAGACATCAATGTAAACAAGCGTAGAGAATAAACTGGGCGCCTTACAGTGCTGGGCCCCCTTAAGACATGTGCACACCACTAATCTCCAGAGAATTCCAAATGTTATTTGCTTCACAATTTATATTACAAGCTGAGTCGTGCCCAATAGAGTAATGGTTAACGAACTTGCTTTGGTAGTGTGTCCCATTCTCACGGAGCACCCTCTACTTATAACCAAACTAAAAACGGGGCTTATTAAATTATAATTTAGATTATAAGGCACTTGCGACTGAGTTACAAAAAGTCTTTTGAAATGTATGTATATTCCAAAAATTTTAAATAAACAGTATCTTCTTCATCTATGTACCGTTTTCTTCAGGACGTAGGTGATCATGGCTCTCCACAATTTCCTCTTCTTCGAAACTCATAATAACGTTTTTTTAATTTTTTTCTCATTTCTCCTAAACCTTTTCATCATCCATTCACTCAAGCTCACTAAGAAGGTTGTTTTCCTCGGACCCTGTTACCTTCAATCTGTCCTGTGAGTTTCAGATTTTCCAAGCCGTCTTTCCTCATTATGTACTCTAGAAATTTCAACTGTCTCTTTCTGGTGTTAAGTATTAGTTTCCTTTCTGTTTCCATTTTCTCTAAAACTTCGTCGTCATCAATAACACACACACACACACACGCTCTCGCGTTTAGCGGCACATTAACGTCTCTATGGGTTATTTAGTGCCGAAATCTAAATATTCTGAGCACATTTTTATGGCTTTAACTAAATATATTTTGAACGCATAATAGATGCCTTTAACTACAGATAAAATTTATTATTCATTTTACTATAAGGAAATGTATTATTGGTAATTAATGGCAATTCTATGATGAAATGTAATGTTGGTAATTTTAAAATGAATAGGCATTGCTGGTAATTTTAATATAAAAATGTATTTTTAGATTTTCATAGTGTTTTGTTTGGAAGTTCCCTATTTGCCCATACCTAGGGTCCTAAATCATTCGTTCTACAAGTTGTTCTATGATAGGTGTTGTTTAATTGTTGATGATTTTATTGTTGACTAGCAGTAGAACCCGGCGTTGCCCGGAGATGTAACAGTAAGAGATAGATCAAGTATCGACCATCATAAAGATTGAAAAATAAAATGGACAAAGATTATTGTTTAAGGTTAACGAACACGCATGTCTTAATTAGTTTTTTGTTTTTTTGTTTTTTGTTTGTTTTTTTTTGTTTTGTTTTTTACGAATTGGTCAAACCCAAACTCAAACAAAAGCATTGTTTTCAATCGTTATGAGTCTAACGATTGAATAGAATTTTATTATAAACAATTGTCTTGTAAATGGCATTTTTAAAGCATTCTGAATGTAAAAATAAAGAAAAAAGTGTGCAAGACAATAAGAAACACTACCTGCCAAAAAAAAAGTGAAGTTTTGTTGAAATCGGTTAAAAAATGTAGGAAATCCGATCCCGTATATAAACGAACACACACACACACACACACACACACACACACACACACACACACACACACACACACACACACACACAACCTGGGTTTTATAATAAGTATAACTCGATATGAGTTGTCCCCTTTTCATTCTCGACAGCGATGCCTCTTAATCGTGTTTTCAAATTGTGATTTTCCCATTTTTGGCGCTGTCAGAACCACCGCAAGGTAATTTTACGTAGTCCTGTGAAGTTTTGTTGAAATCGGTTGAAAAATGTAGGAAATCCGATCCAATATATAAACGAAACACACACACACACACACACACACACACAACCTGGGTTTTATAATAAATATGATGATTTCATTACCTTGACGATAAACTTCTGAATTTTATGAGCAACGAGGGAGTTATAAGGACAACTGAAATAAAAAAAGAGACTTTTATTAAGGGCCAGAAAGAGACAGTTGTTGATTATTTGAACACATAATGAGGAAAGATGGATTGGGGAATTTGACACTCATATGATATTTTGAAGGCAAGAGAAGCAGATGGGAAAGAGCTATTAGCCTGCCTAACGAGTTTATGTAAATGGACTGCAATACATTAACCAGAAGAGATAGTAAAGCGACAGACATTGCTTAGAGCTACAAAGGATAGAAAAAAGTGGAGAGCCATGATCGGCCACGGAGCGATACGGCACATATCAACATAAGAACAAGTTATACGCACTTGTGTAATCTTAGCAGACCGTTGTCTAACATCAGTACTATAAACAACTTTTACATTTTACTATTTTGGCCCCAGTTTGTGTATACAAATGTCATCCATTAAATATGACAACTCTAAAACTGAATTGCAAGACTTACTGGTTGCAAGCAAAAGGGACAACATAACATACAAAAAACAGAAAGGTCAACACTGAAATCCGAAGGTGCATTGTCATAACCAAAGATGCATTCCAAAAGCTAAGCAGAGCATTGGGAAAACAGAAAAAAAACATCGTTAGAAATCAAGCAAAGAGTGCTGAACTATTATGCAATATCAGTCCTGGCACTGAATGCTGAGAAATCTCCTCACAGATGAACAAAAGACTTGAAGCAACAGCAATATAGTTCTACAGAAGGACGCTGAGAATGACATGGACTGAATATGTGAGCAACGACGAAGTTTTAACGAAAATGGAAACAAAAAGGATACATACTTAACATCATGCAAGAGGCAGTTGAAATTTCTAGGACATCAATGAGGGAAGAAGGTTCGGAAAATCTGTTACTCACAGGGCAGGCGAAAAGGAAAGAGGAAAACAACGTATAACCTAGATAGCTTTCTTGAGTAAATGGATGGCGGTGCAAGGTTTAGAAGAGATAACAAAAAGACAATTTTTTAAGATCTACAAAGGACAGGAAGCAACAGAAATGTGGTTCTACAGAAGGATGCTGAGGATATTATGAACGGAACGTGGAGCAACGGCTAAGGTTTTAGAGAAAATGGAAACAGAAAGGAACTAATGCTTAACACTAGAAAGAGACAGTTGGAATTACAAGGGCACATAATGAGGAAAGAGAGCTTGGAAAATCTAAGACTCAAAGGACAGATTGAAGGCAAGAAGGAAAAAGGAAAACACCTACATAGCTTTCTTGAGTAAATGGATGGCGGGCAAGGTTTAGGAGAGATAACAAAAAGACAATTTTTTAAGAGCTACGAAAGACAGGAAATTGTGGAGAGCCATGATCAGCATCGTCCTGAAGAGACATGACACATAGAAGAAAATTGCCGATCTGTTACAGTATTTCTAAAGCAAACTGCATTCTTCTTCGTCTATGTGCCGTGTCCCTTTAGGACGTGGGCAATCATGACTGAACAATTTCCGTCCCTTCCAGAGCCGAATTTGTCTTTTTTCGATCTCTTCTAATCCCTGTCATGCCAACCATTTACAAAAACTCGTTTGATAGTTTATTGGTTGCTTTTCTCTGTCCCTCTTGCCTTCAACATGTCTTGTATGATTTAAATTTTCTAAGCCTTCTTTCCACATTATGAGCTCAATAAATTTCGTCATTGATCACGTTTTGTAGTCCATAGTATTTTTAGCATATAATATTCTCTAATTTAAATTAAAGAATATTTTTAAAAAATATTCAAAAATCATTCGCCTTTAAGGAAAAGGACAACTATAGAAGACACTAGCATGATAAATGTAATGACATCTTGTTAAATAAAAGTGAATTAATGTTGTTATTGTTACGGTTTTTTTATATTCATGACTTTTTTATATCCATTTTCTTTTAATATTTTAAATTCTTTATGACACTATATAAATTTCTTGGCTTGAGAAAAGTGCATTCACTTTAAGAAAGGATTTATTTGAAAAAAAATTAATGTGTATAGTTATGTTGGGGCTAGTTTCTCTTAATACACTTTCGAGAACTTTTCGTCTTAGTAAGTTATTTTCTATCTTAACACAGATAGGATTTTTTGAGGTTGAAATTGTAGTTAAAATTATTTCTATATATATACCTAATGCATTAGATTAGATAAATTATTACGTCGGAGATTTTTATGTTCGTAAATTCATTTATTTTATTTCTATAAGTTTCATTAGTGTATTGTTAGGAGCAACTGTTACAGGTTATGCCAGCTTCAAAATTATTCTTATTATGGATATTTTGGGGTTCGGATCATTTCCATAATAGTTCCGGGCGGAGTTGCAATTAATTTAATATTAAGATTGGCTGTATTATTTTAAATAGTAGTTTTATTTATATTTCATGTTCCTTTTTTTTATCATTCATTGTTTTTGACGATGTGAAAAATAAACACCGAAATATACTCACGACTCTAGTCTCTTCGTAAAATGCTAATAACTGCAAATGTTACCAATTTCATTTCTAACGTTTATCTCTCCAACAAGAAATGTTCGTTCCTGGGACTAAATAACATTAGATTTCAGTCAGTCACTTAAGTGCTATACGTGATACACGCTTGGGCGATCATGTCTCTTATAATTCATGACTAACTAGGTAGATGATTTTATCGCAGTAGGTTGCCTTTTCTTTCTGCGATAGACTGGTTGCCAACAAAGGCTATCAGATCTCGTCTGTCCTGATATAAAGGAAAAGAAATGGTTTCATGCCTTTCCCAATGGCTCTCGGATTTCTCATCTCGATCTGTTATCCATTTCACCACACTGCACATTAGACTTAACAGTTTAGAAAGAGAATCCCCAAAGTTTTTCAATTAGGAATTCCAATGAGTCGGGGTATTTATTATTATTATTATTATTATTATTATTTCCTTTAATTTCTGTCGTATACACATTTCCTTACGGGTCCCAACAAGAGACCTAAGGTCAGAAATGGCATCATGACATTTTCCACTGATCATTTTCGTAAATAAAAAAACATCTAAGTCACACACATTTTACATAGATAAAGCCCTTCGTAATGTGTGAGCTGTACTTGTGAGTACAATGTTTGTATTTCTTTAAGGTTTAGGCTACCAGGGATCCCTTCAATGAGTCTATCGGAACTTT